CTCATGCGACATGTTATTTACACCGGGAGTTATCAATGACTTAGGGGCTGTTTGTTTCAGCCTCTTAATGGTTCAGATGTCTGAATGATTCAGCACTTAATGATTCAGACTGTTTGTTTCAGCCTCTTAATGGTTCAGATGTCTGAATGGTTAAGAGATTTGCCTCTGAATGGTTAAATATTATACAGAGTCTGAATGGTTAAGAGCTATTATCTGAATTGATCAGACATTTGCCTCTGAATAGTTAAGCAATATACTAGCTCTTAATGGTTCAGACCTCTTACTGGTTCAGCACTTAATGATTCAGACCTCTTACTGGTTCAGCACTTACCCATTCAGAAATTGCCAAACAGCCCCTTAGCCTTTTTACTTTTCAAGTGTTATCTAATTTGTTATGATTTGTGGGGTGCAATTGAAGAGGGTGTGTGTATGTTCGGGTCGGGGCGGGGTGGGGGATTTACCGGTGGTAGGGTTAGGGGTATAGGAAACGTCAATTTTACGAACGAACACCGAAGCGTCCCCGTGTTATCCCATGATATTGCCGGGTAATGTCATAAGAACCTTGCCAATTTAATATCCGTAAAATTTGAGAGTCAAAGATAGGTGAGTATCCTAAGGGTCCGTTTGGTATAAGGAATTGGTGGAATTGGAATTGAATTGGAATTGTAATTCCATGGGATTCAATTTCATAGAATTGAATTCTGTCAATTTCAATTCATTTTTTGCACTATCAATTCCAAATCTACATAATTTTTGTGCTACCAAACACTAAAATTGGAATTGAATTCCCGAATTCTAATTCCATATTTTGAATTCCATATACCAAACGGGGCCTAAAAGATCTTTGGGGATGGTCTTCGACCATTTTACTTGAGCGAATGAAGAAGTTCAGCATTATTGTGAATGTATTTGACTTCGTTTGAGAACAATGTTTGTATACATGTACTCTTTTCATTTGGGAATGTTTGCTCAATTTTTGACTTTTTAGAGTTTATTAGCCTATAACTTAATAAAGATCATATGTTATATTAATGTCAAAAAACCAACTCAATCAAATGTTCAAACTTATAATTGTAGCCTTGAAATGATTTTTTATATATACTCCAACACATCCTTTCACGTGTAGACATGACTTTGAGTCTTACACGTGAAACTTTAATTTTTTTAAACTAGGTGGTGCTGAGTTTCGAACTCGTGACCATTTGATTATCAATGCTCCGATATAATGTCAAGAAACCAGCTCAACCAAAAGCTTAAGCTTATGGTTGTAACCCAAGAATAGTTTTTATATACTCCCTCCGTCCCAGTGTATTTGTCTAGTTAGACTTTTTCGAGTCAAACTGGACAAACTTTGAACTTTAATTAAATAAAAATCGTAATGTATTTTAAGTTTTAACATAAGAATGACTTTATTGGATTTATCGTATTCAGAACTTTCAAAATTGTATTTCATTATGCTAATATGCAATATAAATTAAAAGTAATTGGAGTTTAAAGTTTGTCCAGTTTGACTCGAAAAAGTCAAATTGGACAAATATACTGAGACAGAGGTAGTATACTTTAACAATCAATAAAATAATATTTGAAAACATTTTACAATTTCTAAGATGAATCTAATAAAATTATTGTTTTATTAATTTCTAGTATCAATTTTATTGAAATTATTATAGTCAAAGTTTGGTAATTTTGATTCTAAGATTCGTTGAAGGATGTAGTACTACTATTTTAAATACTCCCTTTTTAATGGTCCAAATTAATAATGAAGACCTAATATTAAAAATTACAATCAACTTAAAGTGAAGTACACCTAATTACCCTAACGTACATAAGATTGGACAAAACTGTATCAACTAGCATAAATTTAGAAAAGGTTATAGTGAAATTTGCACTAAATAATACGGAGTACTAAAATATATGTCATTTTTTAATGTAGTACTTAAACTTTTTATTTTCTAAATAGTATTTGAATAACGTTTAGTCGCTGGAACAATGTCCAGTGATGATGGACATTTAGTTTGAACAATGTCCAATGACGGTGAATATTTATTTGAAAATTGATCAGTGGACAATGATCAGTGATACTACATTAGAAAATAAAAACATATGGTACTGCATTGAAAAAGTCAGTGCATTCAAGTCAAAAAATGAGATGTAGCGTTAGGGTTCCTCAAGATCGTTTCTTCTCGTATTATTGACAACATATACGAAATATACTGTTTTGGCCGATACAAGTGACATTTGAATATCACGGAGTATATTTTAACCAATGTCATATTTTTGTATGTAATATTTTTTTCTAATGTCATACTTGATGGTGTTTTTTCTACTTTTCTTTTATTAAAATTCTAATTATTTTATAAGTCGTTGACTAATTAAAAATAAATATATTCAATTAATTAAAATATTAAAATTATATCATCATATTTTCATCAAAACACTTCTTATATAGGGAGTATCATTTTTAATAATATTTTTTGCAAATATATTTTAAAATATAAAATTGGTTAATTTTATGTTTGGTAGGAAAAGCAAACTGACAAATTTTTAAAAAAAAGATGATATCATTTTGTCTGTCAATAAAAAAAAACTTTTTATACCCTATTATTCAACACGTAGAAACTTTTAGCCTGTAATCCATAGAAAACTAACTCCAGGGGGACTTTCCGTCCATCCCTCCGTCAAATTTATTTTTTCTGTTAACTTTTCATCATCTTCTTCCCAAAATTGTTGTCAGGTACCCTCAATTTTGTAGAAATAACTTCCAGGTTTCATCATTTTTAAAATATACTCTGGGTAGTCTAAAATATCCAAAAACTTGCTTTGGAAGAATTTTCCTTTATTATTATTATTATTATTCTTAGATTATTATTATTATTAGAGAGTATTATTATTATTATTATTATTATTATTGAGTCACTTCATCATTATCTTCTGCAGCAGTGCCGCTTTGCCTATTAAGTTGAGTTGAATTTTCACTACACGCACTAGAATAATAATAATAAATATAATAATAATAATAATAATAATCTTGATAGTAATAGTAATAATAATCGAAATAATAATAATAAAAGGAAAAAAAGTAAAATCCCCCATAGTAACTTTTTGGATATTTTAGGGTACCCCGGAGTATATTTTTAAAAATGATGGGACCTGAAAGTTACTTTTACAAAATTAGAAGTACCTAACAGCGATTTTTGGAAAGAAAATAATGAAAAGATAACGGATAAAATGAATTTGACGGAGGAATGGACGGAATGTCCCCCCGAAGTTAGTTTTCGGATAATTAAAGGTATCCCGTAGTATATTTTTCAAAAAAATGGGACATGTGAGTTCTTATCACAAAACCGAGGGTACCTGATAGCAATTTTCTGTTATGTTTTAACCCATTGAAACAAACAAATATTTTAAAATTCTTTGTATTGTATTTGTAGTCCGTATATTGTTCAAAACCACTCACGGACCATGTAAATAGTCCCTCAGTTATATAATTATTTTCTTAGGAAGTACGTAGTATATATTTATTTGTGTCTTCTTAAAATTAATTTTTTTTTTATCAAGAAAAAATAATCTGACAATAATCAAACTTTAATTCAGTGGAGTATGAAAAATCATATCAGTCTCATATCCAAAAGATAATAATAAAATTTCATGAATACAAAAGATATATTCGAAATATATAATGTGACTAAACATGTGATCATTTAAATTTGTTCCTTATTTTTTGTACTCTGTGTTTTGTTTCATATTTTTTTGTACTCGAGCTACTTTTAGTTTTAGGTACTCCCTCCTTTCTAAAATTAATTTTTCATTTGATTTTTCACGATCTTCAATACGATACTTTGACCATCAATATCTCAATTTTTATATAAATATATTTTATAAAAATTATATATTTCAAAACTATATTCCAAAATAAAACTACTGCTAATAAATTTATATGAAAATTCAATGTATTTTTTTCTAATATATGGTCAATGTTTAAAAAGTTTGACTGTAAAAGTCAATCTGAAAAATTAATTTTAGGACGGAGGAAGTAATAAATTGCCGTAAAAATGTTTAGAGCATCATATAATTGTTCTTATAGTCTCCCATCTTTGGCAAAAGACATCATGATTTGGATACCTAATATAATGATTGTCTAGCCAAAAGTGAAGTGTAAAATGGCCTAAAGGAGATAATTAGGGAGGGGGTAAGCTATAGCAAAAAGATAAACATAATAAAGCTCGAAAAGAAAAAGTCTTCCTCGTTGTCTCTTTGCAATTTCATTACATCCCTATGGAGTACTTTTTTTTAATTGTTTTTTAAAAAAACAAAATTATATGATTATTAATTATGGAGATAGAGAAAAAAATAAATCATTCAGGCCCCGTTTGGTATATGGAATTCAAAATATGGAATTAGAATTCGGGAATTCAATTCCAATTCTAGTGTTTGGTAGCACAAAAATTATGTAGATTTGAAATTGATAGTACAAAAAATGAATTGAAATTGACAGAATTCAATTCTATGGAATTGAATCTCATGGAATTACAATTCCAATTCAATTCCAATTCTACCAATTCCTCATACCAAACAGACCCTCAACATAGCTATTCTAGAAATTGGATTTAATTTGGGATGGTGGATAAATAAAAATCTCATACTCCATATATTTAACCATTTCCATTCATCCCAAAAAACCCAAAAAACTCTATCCATCTAGCTTTCATACTTTATAAAGAAAAAATTGTTTAAATCAGAGATTTTTTTTCAAAGTCATACACTACTCGCTAGAAAAAAAAATCATAACCCAGAAAAAAACACGTGAAAATATTTTTTTTGAAGTTAAATATGAAAATGGTGGACAAAGTTTTTTGAGATTACTAAAGATAATTGTTTTAGACGTTCAATAGAAATGCTTTTGTTTTTATTTTTCATTTTATTTTATTATAAATGTAAAGAAAACTAGTAGGGCCCTTTATGGTCTTCCCCGATAATTGCGCTAATTTCGACTGGGAATACGAAACCAAAAATGAACTCCGGAGCTGCCCTTTGGCCTCCATCTTCCGCAATTGCCGCAGGAAAAGGGCCGAGACACACTGTGTAATAAAGCGAAGTGGCTCTCCACTGTGAAGCAGTTCTTGATTCCTCCTATCATTATATTACGGAGTTTCATCATTACACAGTAATCTGTACGCCCGCCATAGCCGGATGATCATCTCTTCTTCAGACCCGGGGTCCTGAGAGCTACCGAGATTCGGGAGAAACCCGATTTGGGCGGATCTTGGCACGGCCCGGAACCCAATTTGACGGCTTCTGGGCAGGCGGACGCGTCTCATGCCTCATGGGCTGCGTGGCGTCGAAGCAGGCGGTGTCGGTTACTCCGGCGGTTGACCATTCCGGAGTTTTCCGGGACGAATTCGGGTCGGGTCGGACGCGGGTGGAGAGTAGCGGCCTGGGGTTGGATTTTGACTTGAAGAAGGTGAAGAGGAGGGCTGACTCGGTCTTGAGCGCGGGGTGCGAGTTCGCGGCTGAGTCTGGGAGGGCGAGTTCGAATGGGTACGGGAGCGAGTCCGTGAGCTTCAGGCTCGGGAATTTGCACAAGTATGTGGAGGGAGAGCAAGTCGCCGCCGGCTGGCCGGCCTGGCTCAGTGCGGTTGCAGGGGAAGCTATTCAAGGCTGGGTGCCGCTCCGAACAGAGTCATTCGAGAAGCTCGAAAAGGTTCGCTTTGAAATGCCTACATTTCACCTTTGTAATCATTCCCGACTAATTTTAGCTTATGACAGTTAATCAATGACAATCGGTTCATCTAGGATTGCAAAAATTTTAAGACGGATAATGAATTCTTGAAACTGTCTGATGGCTTTGATCATTCTTTGACCATTTGGTGCTGCTGGAAATGCTTTTTTAGTGTGTGTGTGTGAGAGAGAGATTAAAAAGGCAGCGCCTTTAGGTGTGGACTCACAAGGTTTAAGCCCAAATGAGAGGCAGAAATGTTCATCAAGGTCTTTCTTTGAAGTAAATATTATATGATTCTTGTTGGACTTGAATGCTTTGGCTCATTTGACAATTGATGTTTCCGGGCAGATTGGTCAAGGTACATATAGCACAGTATTCCGGGCTCGTGATCTAGAAAGTGGGAGGATAGTTGCACTGAAGAAGGTGCGGTTCGATAACTTTGAACCAGAGAGTGTTCGGTTTATGGCCAGAGAGATCATGATTCTTCGCAAGCTTGACCACCCAAACATCATCAAATTGGAGGGCATAATCACTTCGCGATTATCATGTAGCATATATCTTGTCTTTGAGTACATGGAGCATGATGTTTCAGGACTCTTGGCTTGCCCTGATGTCAACTTCACCGAATCACAGGTTTGCTTAATGTGAAAATCTTGAGTTTTGACATAAAACTGTATGCTTTGTTTGTTGATGATCCAGGCCTAGTTCACTCTTGCTGCAGGTAAAATGCTACATGAAACAGTTGTTATCTGGACTTGAGCATTGTCATTCCCGGGGTGTGATGCATCGGGATATCAAAGGAGCCAATCTTTTGGTAAACAATGAAGGCATCTTAAAGATTGGTGATTTTGGGTTGGCTAACTACTGTTATCCGACCCGCAGGCATCCATTAACCAGTCGAGTTGTCACTTTATGGTATCGTCCTCCTGAGCTTTTATTAGGTTCCACGGATTATGGAGCTTCTGTGGACATCTGGAGTGTTGGATGTGTCTTTGGTGAATTTCTCACTGGTAAACCAATTCTTCAAGGGAGAACCGAGGTACGGAGTAATTCTTTTTTTTTAAACCTGTAGTAGTTTAGTGACCTTGGTCATTTTTGTTTCTTACAATAAAATATCGTTCACAATGCAGGTTGAACAGCTGCACAAAATTTTCAAACTTTGTGGATCTCCTCCAGATGACTATTGGAAGAAGTCTAAACTTCCCCATGCAACTCTGTTTAAGCCACAACATCCTTACGAAAGCTGTCTTTGGGAGACTTTTAGTGATCTACCAATGGCAGCTGTCTCTTTGATCGAATCTCTTCTTATGGTGGAACCCAATAACCGTGGCACTGCCTCTTCTGCGCTTGGATCTGAGGTATTGACCCAAAATCTTGTTTGACTTTTTTTCCCCATTCAATTTTCCTGCAGTCTGCAGTAGTTTTATGCACCTATTTGTTTGCTTTATATAGTATTTCATGACAAAGCCTCGTGCTTGTGATCCTTCAAGCTTGCCCAAATATCCACCGTGCAAAGAAATTGATGCTAAACATCGTGATGAAGTAAGAAGGTAAGGCTCAGATTCAATTAGTATCAGAGATTACTTTTCTTATACTGCGGTACATATTTTCATATTTTTGAAGTTGAGCTAATTTGTTTGAGGAATTCCAGAAAGAGGCATAGTGGAAGAGCACGTGGTCCAGAAACTACAAGAAAGCCTACCAGAAAACAAAATGGAATCAATAAACTGGCACCTGAGGAGGTATGTGTGTGTGTGTCTATTTGTCTGTTTTTGTGATATAAACCCAGGGGTGGCCAGGACTAATATGAAAGAGTAGAGAGGGATCACAGAAAAGACACATAAGAACAATGCTTGATAAACACCCAGAAACAGTTTGAAAGAGAAGAAAGAAGCTTCAGGTGCAAGAAGAAAGATGCTTTTTTGTTTCTCATTTTAATTTCAAGTAAACATGAAGGACCAGAAATTGTGTCAAACCTGCATTATGGCCTGTGATTCAATTGAACGGCGGGCGAGGATGTAGATTTGACATGATTTCTGGTCCTTCAGGTTTGATTTAAGTTAGATTCATAAAAAAGAAATGTCCTCCTCACTGAGATATCCTCTTAATTTATTGGTGAACTTTCTTCTCTTTCATACTATACACAGGTTTATCGGTATGCTCTTTATTAGTTATGTGATCATGGGAATATTGGTTTTGGGTATTAATCTTTTATGAGAAGTTGAGAACCTAACAGCTTTTGATGTATGCAGAAGTTATCTGCTCCAACTCATGGTGTTGATAGAAGTAGACACAGAAGTGTGTGTAAGCACAGAGAGGGAGAAGGTGGCAAAGGCCCACAGCCTTTGATTGATGTCATGGAAGAAGTATCTCTTGCAAAGAATGCGTCTGAAGCTGACATCCCATTTTCAGGCCCATTGCAGCTATCTGAATCAAGCGGCTTCTCATGGGCAAAAAGAAGGTCCAAGGATTCATCAGTGAGATCACCAAGTAGTAGGTCTAGTTCAAAAATATTTGAACCTTCTGTCGCATTATTGCCACCAAGGAGTGATAGCTTGGAATCCAGAAGGCGAGACAACTGGGAACTCAGAAATGGTGGAAGTCGCACTGATTCCAAGGGCCAGAATTCCTATGAAAATGCAAAACGTGCAGCGCTTGAACAATGGAGTCTATCAGGACGACCAGAATCTTTTGATGCTTCCGATGGAGGCTATCAATCCCAAGAACTTTCACTAGCCCTCTACCTGAAAGAAGAAATGGCTCTCAAGAGATTGAATGCAGTGAGTCAAAGCTGTTATTTGAACTATAACACTAACTGTTTGAAAGTGTGTCTCGTGAAAAAAATGTTCCAAAAAAGTAATCCTGCACCAGTTCTACTTTTCTTTCCAGTACCATAAGTTTTGTCAAAGAATCTATGTTGACATCAATTTTTTTGAAAATCCGTAATCCTAGCATTGTATTGTATTGATTTTTGTTTTGTTCTGGATTTGCTCTGAACAGGTTCATGATCATGGTGATAAGGTTGACTTTTCAGGGCCTTTACTATCTCAAACACACAGAGTAGATGAGCTGTTGAAAAAACACGAGCGTCATATCCGGCAAGCTGTTCGCAGATCATGGTTCCGGAAAGGTAAGTGAAATTGTTACATTGTATTCTTTTTTTACTCCCATCGAAAACTTTAATCAGATTTCTCTCTAAAATCGTTTAATTCCGTACCATTAATTGGTACTTTCAGTTAGGAGAAATGGGAAGTAGTTGCATGATCATGTTAGCATGAGAAGGGAAGCCTTGGCTATGTATCAGACATCACAAAGTCGGTGAATCCCAAAAGGTGGCGATAAGTGATATGCATCCGCGGATAGAAGTGACACTTGCTGATGACCATATATCTCTACAAGCTTACTATGAGAAGTTCTGCAGGAGCTGGTTGTGCTTTATTCTTTTTCATCATCTTCAGGAAAAAGTAACCTTTCTTTTTTTCGCTTGACATTTCATTATCACTGTATAGATTTAGTTGAGTGAAGACTCTCAAAGAGCATAGATTGACAAAATTGTAAGATTGAAAGTGTACACACTTTACATTGAGACTGCTACAACAGTGTTCAAGTTGCGAAATGCGATACCCTTGTCTATGAATAGAAATGAGATCTTGATAGAGGTAACTATATAAAGAGCCCCTGTGTAGACACAAGAAAAGAAATAATTTGAAAATTAGTGGACAACTCTTCCTGTTTGGACCTTTGTTTAGTGTCACTGCTGTTCAATTTTCTTGTATTGTGGTATGATTTACATATGGGGTGGGATCAGGGGGGATGATTCCACCTTAGAACCAACTTCATAACTGTTTCAGATTGGATGTTTGTGAATAAATGAGCCCCCCACCCAACCAACCACCCCGAAATTACAAAGGTATTAGGGGTGATCTTCAACAATCTTTACTCTCCTTAAAGCTTGCTGATCAATGTCAATTTGGGAAGCCAATCTTCTGTCATGGCCTATATGACAAACTTCTTGGCAGTTTCTGAGGAAGAAGCAGGCAAGAATGGTGTCAAGAACCAGAAGCGTTGCATACATATATGCAATGAACATGCCTTCCAGGGCCACGGAAGAAATCCCAGATTCTGCATGAAGATGATGAACCCTCACAACTCTGTATTGGAACAGAGCTTCAACTGCAGCCAAGGCCATGTTAATAGGAACGGCTAACAACAGAGCAGTAGCCGTTCTTCCCTTGATCAGAACACATGCTTTGAGGATGGACACAAAGCCCCCTGTTGTCTCTGTCCCAGATATAACCAATGCAAGATTGCAGATGATGAAAGCATTTGCAAGAACAATGGAGCAAAACAGAGCTCCTACAACCGAAACAAAGAGCTCAAACCTTGGAGAAGAAAGATTGAAGGCAATTAACAGCAGAAAAAAGCAAGCTGCATTTGCAGAAAGGACCAGCAGAGAGTTGCAGAGTTGGGTCAGGAGGAGGGAACTGTACGTTCTTTCAACGGGCAATTCTTGATTGCCCAGCAGAGATCGGATAACAGAGGCTTTGCTTAAAAGAAAAGAAGAGAGCGTCAAAGGCAATGCAAGAAAAGAAATGGCAACGGTCTGAGAGAGCTTCGCGCTGAGAATCACAGAGAATTCCGAGGAAGAAGGGAACCCTGCTGCGTCAAAGAGAGTGCGAATTCGGGTATGGATAATTCCCAGAAAAGATGACGAGGGAATGTACGACTGGAACACGAGAACCGAGGCTGCATATGGGAAGGCAAGAAATGCTGCTGTTGTGGTAAAGTATTGAAAGTTCTGCACAAGGGTGAAGATTGATCTCCTGAAAATCTTTGCTGCAGTTCCCATGGTGGTTCCGGAGGACTCGGATATGGCTCTGTGGATCCCTGTATCCTCATTTTATATTTGAATAATGAAATGTGTCGCTTGAAGGTAGGTCAGAAACTGAAAGGAGTCGGTGCATAGGAAGGAGGTGAGGTGAGAATAAGATTGGCCAACAACTGATGACTTAGAACAGAACTTAGCTTCTAAAGGAGTTGTGCTCTACTTTTTTCATGCTATCTTTGGTTCAAGAAATTTAAAAGAAAAAGAAAAGAAAATGATTTTTTCTCTATTTTTCTCACCAAAAAGAGAAAAATGTAAATTTCTCTTATCTTAGTACGTTTTGCATTCTCATTTTTTCTTTTTCTTTTTTTTTCTCTTCTCCAATCAAACAAGAAGTATCATTTTTCTATTTACTCTGCTGTATTTCTTTTATCTTTCAGTTCCTTAAGCAAATATATTCAATTTTTTTTAAAATTAAAAATTTAAAAATTACACCAAAAATTTTAAAAATGAAGAAGACGATATGAATATGTTATTTTATCAAATGAGTTATCAAAATAAACCAAAAAAATGATTCAAATTTGATTATGTGAATAATAAATATAGAATTTAAATCAAGACAGATATGATATATTTTTTAAAATATGGGGTATAGCGTTACACATGTATGGAGTATTTTTTTATTAAAAAGAACAATAAACTCCCTAGTTTTAAAAAGATGAAGGTCTGTATAAATAGTCATTCGAGGGGTCTTCTTCTCATAATTTAAACAAGCCTTCTTAAAAAAATCACCCATCTCTCTCTCTCTCTTATTAGTACTCCCTATTAAACACACACACACACATCCTATAAAAACATGGACCGCCGTATTATGGCCGTGGCCGCCGCCATTGTAGCTATAGCTTTAGCTTCTTCTCCATCTTCTTCTCCATTTGCTGGTGCATCAGATCCCAACAATTTGCAGGATTTTTGTGTGGCTATCGATGGTTCCAAGGCTAATGGTACGTACATGCCGCTTAGGGGATCAACATGACGACCCTTATCTTTAAAACATAGAACGACTGTTTTCAAACGTAGAACTCGTAACAATTTTTTTTCGTGAGCGGACACCGCTGATTTTATATTTCTATTTTTTTTCCCTCGTTGGACATTGCAGTTTTCGTGAACGGGAAGACGTGCAAGAATCCAACGGAAGTGACGGCGGACGACTTCTTCTTGGAAGCCCGCCTAGTCACCCCAAGAAACACGTCGAACTCGCTCGGTTCAACGGTGACGCCGGTGACGGTGGAACAACTCCCGGGACTGAACGCCCTCGGGGTTTCGATAGGGCGCGTCGATTTCGCCCCGAACGGAGTCTCGCCGCCCCACACGCACCCCCACGCCGCGGAGGTCATCGCGGTGGCGGACGGTGTCCTCTACGCCGGATTCGTCGACTCCAAGAGCAAACTCTTCGCGAAGACGCTCAACCCGGGTGACGTTTTCGTCGTCCCGAAAGGGCTCGTCCATTTCCTGTTCAACGTGGGAGGGAGCCGTACCGCCGTCGCCTTTTCCGGGCACGGGAGCCAGAACCCGGGAGGCATCACCGTAGCCAACTCTGTTTTTGCGGCAGACCCTCCCATTTTTCCGGAACTCCTGGCTAAAGCATTCCAATTAGACAGCGGCGTGATTAACAATCTCCAATCACAGATTTGGTATGAGCCCAGCAAATGATGATTAGTAATTAATTACTCCGTAATAAAATAATGATCGGAGGAGTGCCCCTAGCTATATATGTACTTAAAGCTTCTATGAATGTGCCCCGGCCGGACAATAAAAAATATTTGTACTAAAATAAGATAATTTCCGCACTTAAATTGTTTTATTTCTTAAATAGTACTTAATAATGTCCAGAAAGAAATAATGTCCAGTGATGACAAACATTTACTTGAGTAATGACTAATGGATAATGACTAAAAGTGCTACATTGGAAAAAAAGAGACATATGATGATATTTAGAAAAATCATTATGTTTTAATACTATTTAAGTAAATTTCCGGCCAATAAAATAAATTAGAATAGTTGTGATATTTTAAATATTAAAAAAATATATGAGAAGATGTATGGAAGAAAAATAAAAAAGGTTAATAGAAACATCCGTGGGAGACGAATCACAAATGTAACCAAAATGATAGGATTAGAATGGACATGATTAAAATGATTATATAAAAGAAGAACAACCAAAGGATGGCTAAATATTTGTAAAACCTCGTATGTGAAAAAAATAAACTCAAAAGACAAATTGGAACATCAAAGACTCGCGGAGAACCTTCGTATCAGCCAAGTAAGCATTTGCTTACTATTGAGATAATTATTTTTAATTTTTCTTTTTAAAAATAAAAACAAATGTGTGAGAAGGTTCATGTGAACCCTAGGTTTATGATAGAACTTAATTCTCAATCAGAAAAGGGTCGCTATTTAACGTAAATGGTTGATGACATCTTTGCCATTGGTTTCGTTTGATATTAATCATAGACTTTAGCTTTAGTGTTTTAAAAATACTACGTATACGCTAATATCATATCGGTTGGTATTAAAAGATTATCTACATGCTACATCGATCATTTCATTGTACCCAAACGAAGCCGCGCCCTACTCTATGAACAACGAATAAGACGTACATACAGTTTAGGCGCTTGTAGAAAAAAAAAACGATGAACCATCCCAAAGGTTCCCAACATTAAAGTTGAGATTAGATAAACTGAATTATAATCTTAACACAAATAAATTGGACGAGGATATATACATAAAATTTTATTGCTAGCTTTCACTAATAAAAATGTCTAAATACTTCTCTAATATAACGAGCAACTGTACGTTTGAACTATCTACTCGTAATTATTTAGCTTGATCATGTGAGTCAAGTATCGTATACTCAATTAAATTTTGAAAAACCTTCCTCGATAAGAATTTAAAAAATGAAAATATTAAAATAGAAATCCTAAGTCTTTAAAGATCAAAAAAGGAGTTACACTGCTACACTCAACAATCACCTTATCACCACACAATCACACAACCACTGTCACAAACACAATATTACTGCCACACTGTCGGTCACCAAAGTGCCGACCGGTCGCTGATGTTGCCCAGTGGCCTACCGGTGTTTGATTGATCACACTATCATTATTTTTTCATCACACTCTCATTACTCTTACAACACACTCTCATTACATTCCTATTTAGCAAAATAAACTAAATGACTTCTATTTTAGTTAAGTTTTACTCATGTACAAGAAGATTTCTTTTAAATTTAAGGAATAATTTTAGTAATCCTATCGATCAAGAAATCAATTCAACCAAAAATTAAAAAAATTATTATTGTTCGTTCAATTTTTTTAATATAAATGACCGTGTTGTAGAATTATAATTGGATCAACCATTTTTAATTCTCTTCTAATTTTTGGCAATTTTATCATTTAACACACACACAGCGTTGTAAGCATGTTACATTCCGCTGTAAAATTAAACAATATGATCGATATAAGCATCTTAATCCCTCCGTCCCACAAAACCTTTCTCCTTTCCTTTTTTTCATCTGTCCCAAAAAATTCTTCTCTTTTTCTATTAAAAAATCACTTTTACCCATATTAATTCTTAACCTACCTATCACAACCCACTTTTTCTCTACTAATCTACCCATCACAGCATACTTTATCCATTACATCAAAGGGCATTTTTGAAAAGTCAACACTAAAACATATTCCCCTTAAAATCCTTTAAAAGTCTAAATAGGAAGTTTTTTGAGGGACGGAGGGAGTATAAGCTATTTTTAACTTTTAAGTCAACAGATACACGTTTCTGTGTGCTTATAAGCTGACTTATACGCTGCTTATAGGTCAGAAAAAATAAGTATGTCCTACCTACTTATTTTTAAACCAATTTTTTTGTTTTTCTATTTTGACCATATTACTTACAAAACTTTTTCTCACCCATTATGAATATTCCCACATGATTGACTTATATATTATTATGACTTATCTATACAAAAAAGTTTTTAACTAATCAACAACTTATAATTTTAAAACTAGTTATAAGCAATAAGTCAGTAAATACGAAACGGAGAAAAATCATTAGAGCATCAGCAGCGGCGATCCGTCCATATGCCACGCCCTGCCAGATCGGATGAGAAGCAAACCTTACTCGCGTGGAACTACCATTTCTCCACGGTCAGCAAGGCTTATGCGAGGCATGTAAGCCTATTTTTTTTCTTTTTTTCCCTTTTATTTGTGAGAAAGAATTCCTCAAAAAAGAAAAAAAAGGAAAAAAAAGTTTTCTAGAAGGAAGTAGAACTACTTTTTACTCTCTGTCTCTTAATAAATTATAATTTTTTTCACCCTTTGATAACTTTTGTTTACTTACTCCCTCCGTCCACAAATAAACTTTACATTCACTATTCACAAGGTCAAACTTTATTCACTTTGTTGGCCTATTTTTGTCACACATTTGATAAAATAATATAGTCATGTCACCTCTAGTTTTGTAGATCTTTTGATATAGTTTTTTAATATGTAATTTTTATTTTTCAATTCTACACCATTTTTCATATAAAATGATTTGAAAATAACTTCAGTCAAACATCGTAACGCGCAACGTAAAGTTTATTTGTGAACGGAGGGAGTATTATTTTTATTGATTATTTAATTTAAAAAAATTTGTCACGTCTTTTTTTGTAGAATTTTTGATGTAAATTTTAAATTTATAAGTTTTATTTTTAATTCGTATACCAATTTTTAAATAAAATAATTTTTAAAAACAAAGAGTTTTGCATCGTAATTTTAAAATCATAATCTAATTTGAGATGAAGGAATAAATAAAAATATGGAGTAGATAACAAAAATATTTTTAATAATTAAAATATATTTAAAAAATTTATTTATTTGAGTAAATAGAAATATTTTCATGATAAAAATATATAAATAAAATAATTTTAAATAATTCAAATATGGAAAAAATATGAAAAAAGTGATGAAAACAATGACTTGCCATTGCAAGACATGCCACTCCACTCACGTGCCACTCGTTGACAGGACTGTTTTTTATTGGTTGAAATACTCCACGTCAGCGTGTGGCATCCCATTTTTTGCATCACCATTGTTCATGCTCTTAAGATGTGTCAAACAACATTTTTTTTCATTCGGTCCCAAGTCCAAAACAACGCCAAATTAAATAAGTGCGTGATGGGACAACAAATGTATTACCAGTCCTGTCGTGATAAATAAATCTGCACCAATTTTAGCAAATTCAAATAAATTTATTTCGTTGATGTAATTGGCTAACCATGTGATAATATGTGCATTGGGCGTTCTCCTAAGATGACATAGCCAGTGAATTTCTAATGTTATCCCTGTGATCTATCATAGTAGTACCATTTTTTTTTTCGAGAAACATTTTCAATGAATGCCAAATTCTGTAAGGGTCCGTTTGGTATAAGGAATTGGTGGAATTGGAATTGAATTGAAATTGTAATTCCATGGGATTCTATTCCATAGAATTGAATTCTGTAAATTTCAATTCATTTTTTGCACTATCAATTCCAAATCTACATAATTTTTGTGCTACCAAACACTAGAATTGAAATTGAAGTCCCCAATTCCAATTCCATAGTTTGAATTCCATGTACCAAACGGGACTTCATTCAATTTTTCGGTACAAATAGTTGGTCCAAATGAAAGGAAGATACACAAAAAATGATTCTACATTTACTTTTTTATATATATATATATATATATATATATATATATATATATATATATATATATATATATATATATATTCCAAAATAAGTTTGGATCCTTTTTTAAAGTACATGCATAACTTTGAACTAGGGTTATAAACAAAAAATAATTTGAATTTAAGCCGTGATTTGTATTTGTTTGTAGTGATTTGTATTCAAAAAATCAAATATCAAGTCCATATACAAATAGTATTTGTTATTCGTTACATTAACTAATACAAATATATCCATATTTGATTTGGTCCCTAAACAAATGTATTAAAAAAGATGGATCAAATTAGTAAGTATAAAAAAAGGCAATTCACTATTATTTTTTTAAAATCAAATGTATGTTTATAATCCACTTCAAAATGTCAATTTTGAGTTTATAATTTTTTTCTCACTAGCTAATGCCAAACTATATATATGCAAACAATATTTAGAAAAAAGAGTTTAATATAATTTACAATTTTAAGAAATAATTTAAATTTAATAAGATATTTTAAATCTAAACAAAACAAATATTTTTTAAACAAATCAAATATTTTTAAACCAACCAAATTATTAAACAAATTGAATATTTTATGTATGATAAACGAATCGAGTGCGAATCGCTAAAAATATTCGAACCGAATACGAATATCATCCCAAACTAACGAATACGAATAATATTTATCAATATTTTATTCTTTTACAACCCTCCTCTCAACCACATTCTCTTAAATTTCATTATTTTTTTAATAATCGTGTGATCAGATTTAACTTAAAACTTTTCATGGTCAAACGTTAGAGTAGATAAGACTGAACCTATTTAGAAAAAAGTGATATGTTTAAGTCTTAACTGCGTAAATTTTCTTAACTATAAAATGTATAAATAGTCATCTCCTCCATCTCACATTTTCTTCTCATAATAATTCATGCAAGTCGCTAAAAAAAACCATCCATCTCCTACTATTAATTAGTACTCCCTATTAAACACACACACACAACTTAACCCAAAAATGAGCCGCCCTATTATGCTCATGGCCGCCATTGTAGCTATAGCTTTAGCTTCTTCTCCATCTTCTTCTCCATTTGCTGGTGCATCAGATCCCTACAATTTGCAGGATTTTTGTGTGGCTATCGATGGTTCCAAGGCTAATGGTACGTACGTGATTAAATAAAGTGTAGCAACACTTTCCTAAGCAAAACTTGAACTCCTAAAATAATGTGATAGTACACTACATATAAACTTTTGTTGGTTGATGACTTGCAGTTTTTGTGAACGGGAAGACATGCAAGGATCCAACGAAGGTCACGGCAGACGATTTCTTCTTCGCAGCACGCCTACACATGCCAAGAAACACGTCGAATCCGATGGGTGCAAAGGTGACGCCGGTCAGGGTGGAAGAACTACCGGGGCTAAACACCCTCGGGGTTGCGGTAGGTCGCATTGATTTTGCACCAAGAGGAATCTCCCCGCCCCACACCCACCCTTTGGGGACGGAGGTCATCGTGGTGGTGGAGGGCACGCTGTACGCCGGATTCGTAGATTCCAGAAACAAACTGTTCGCTAAGACGCTTCACCCCGGGGACGTTTTTGTGTTCCCGAAAGGGCTGGTGCATTTCCAGTTGAACGTGGGAGGGGGCCGTGCCTCTGTATTTGCCGGGTTTGGGAGCCAGAACCCAGGAGGCATCACTACAGCCAATTCTGTGTTTGCAGCAGATCCTCCCATTCTTCCAGAGCTTCTCTCTAAGGCATTTCAATTAGACAAGAAAGTGATTAACCATCTCCAATCACAACTCTGGTTTGAGCCCACCAAATAATTAACTAAACATATACATAGGCCAGTTGTACTTTAAAAACAAGAAGAGGTAAAACATGCATCTCCCGTATTGCCATATATCCATGCACGTCCATCAATAACATATATACGTACGGAGTACGAAATACTGGAGAACGTAGTAGTAATTTAATTACCGTGTTCATCAATAAATAAAAAATGGCTAGCTAGCTTTGGGCAGATACTTGGCATATGAGCTAAATATTTGTATGAATATATCATCAATACATAAGTGTGTTCCTTGGATTGCCATATATGCATTTCTGTTGGTATATAACGCGCACATGACTCCGAAAAATATCAAGAACACGAACCAAACAAGAACTCCCTTGATAATATATGAAGCAGTACGTACTCTTCCAACCCTGGGAGTCTTGCTTTGTGTGTGTACTGCTTGCCATCTTGACAGCACCCTCATCACAAGCTTGATATGTGTCACACTGCTCCTTGAGTAAATACATATGAAACGAACAACCGCAATCTAATATCCAATGTGATTTATCTGGACTCCTTGCAGTTTTCAAAAACAAGTCCTTTTTGCTTGCTTGGCTCGAGCCTTCTCCAACTGCAGTCATGAGTAATTTTCTGTTACCTTTTTTCTACTTTGGAGAATCCCTCTTCAAATGATCTTCCTCATTGCAACTGTAACATCAAAATTTCCTACCACTCGATTTGGAGCATTGGGACACATCCCACTTCTTTTTCAACTGTCTCAATTACCGACCAACCTGTTTTACAACCAAAGCATGATCTTCATTTGGAAACCTGTTATTGCCCCGCCAGATCATGCTCAACCACCTCATCAATTTAAGGGTCTCTTGGAACAAGTTCGTAGTTACAATGTAGTCAAAATAAGAAGGGAAAGAAGCCAACAAAAGTAACACCTTGTCTTCATCTGCAATCTTTACATCTATAGATTCCAACATCGTTGTTATACGGTTGAACTCGCTTAGGTGTCCATTAAATCTGCTCCTTCTACAATTTAGAGGCCAAACAATCGTTTCTTCAAGTATAATCCACTTGTCATTTGTCAATGATCTTGACTTATACCGGCTCTCTAATTTGTCCAAAATATTAACCAGATGTGTCACGCCAAGTAGCTCCAAGAGGATAATATTTGCAAGTCATATGCAAATTATCCTCATTGTCATGCCCTTCCAATGTTTGAAATGGCATTGCACAATACACCATATTGCCCACCTCATTTCTGTTTCCGAAGAAAAACTCCTTGTGGCGATCTAGCCATAGGCCATATGGGTTTCTCAGTTATGGCGCAAGAAGGCTACACAATGAGGCATATGCCATGAGGCGGAAGAAGGCGTGCACCGTTTTAAACAAAATTAAGATATGTTTAAATTAGTAATTTAATTAGAAAATTATAAATGTTAAATTACTGAACCCAAGTTTATAAACATTTCCAGTCTCCTTCGGTCTTACATGTTCATCTTTGTGTTGTTCATCTACGACTTCATCCCTCTTTGGTGGTTTTCAACTCCTCTTCAGTCTCCCCTTTTTCTTTTATTTGTTTTCATTCATTTATATTTTTTTAATGATAACATTTTAATATCACTAATTTTCCATTAATTTATTGCTTTTAGTTTTATAGTTACTAATCTGCCACTAAAACTTGAAAAAACTATTTGCCATTAAAACTTGAAAATTTTATCTGCATCTTTAATTTTAATAATATCTTAGGCCTCAATACGCCATGGGGAAAAATGCCTCAAAATTGCAATACGCCATTTTGAACATTGTGCCCTTCAAATCTTCGCACTCTTCATCCATACAGTACAACTTTTTTTTCTAGATTATTTTCCCATTCTAGATATGCCTTAAACATAGGTCATCGAAAAGATCTTGGAGACCCACTAAAGTAAGAAAGGCAGGCTATTTCATACTCCCACCGTTCCAAAAAGTCTTTCACGTTTAAAAAAAAACCGTGTCCCTTAAAGTCCTTCCCATTTCTATTAAAACCACTTTTACCCCTTAACTTTTCATACCCTACCTATCACATCATACCTTTTTCCTAATAATTTATACATCACATCTTACTTTTACCCATCACATCAAGGGTATTTTTGGAAAATCAACACAAAATTATCTCTCCCTTATTTTACCACTTTAGTTCAAATGTTCCTATCTTTATGGGACGGAGGGAGTACAATATATTCGTGTTCAAAGAGTGCATAACCGCATGGATAAGCTCACACTAACCCATCAATTTGGGATTCAAATGGGAGATTTTCCTTGGGAGGAATCAGTTTGTCTCTTTATCAGCGTTTGTCGCACTCAACATCTATCATTTTTAGGTCAATTGTGGGGGTGAAATTTATTAGTGATGGTGGCAATTGCACATAAACATGCCAAGCAAAAAAACATTTGAAACTAAAATGTTGAGACTCTAATAAAAATGACACCACTCACAAATCCTATACTTAATCAATTCCAATTCATTCCTTTTTTACTCTATACCCCAAACGTTAATCCATGACCTTCAATGAACCCATAAAAGAAGCCTTCTTCATTGCTGCAATAAAACCAAAATTTTCTACCACTTCATTTAGAGCGTCGGAACACACCAAAGCTTGACCTCCATTTAGAAACCCATCACTGCTCCACCGAGTCTTGTTCATGAGCAACACAACTCTCAAAACTGAAGGCACTGAGATCTAGAGAAGGGATGGAAGGGTGGACACGAGAATTGCAATGCCCCAAAGGAGTGGCGGCGGCCGTGCCAAAGAAGAAGAAGACTTAGAAGAAGAAGAAACAATGA